TTTCTGCCTGACAACTGAACGCCTAGCCATACCCAGTCCCCTTTCAAGGATTCCTCTGATCTGTTCTGACCCCCACAAGCTACATTATGGAATAGTATCTCCTTATTGTGCCCAGCTCTGTGTGTTATTTCTCTGTATTTTACTCAGCTCTACCTGTTCTATGGAAATCTCTATTCTACCCAGCTCTGCGTATTGTGTAGATATTTTTAGATTTTGCCCAGCTCTGTGTATTACATCTCTATTTTGCCACAGCTCTGTTTGTGGTATTGTTATAGCTGTGTTGTGCTCAGCTCTGTGTATTTTATAGATATCTTTATGTTGTGCCCGGTTTGTTTTTTTGTATGAACATCTATGTATTATGCTCAGCTCTCTGTATTGTACAAGTATCTGTACAGGCAGGAGTTACATTTTAGAGAAGGAGTCTGCCGCCCAATAATCTTAAAACTTCACCAGCTGCCAATGGAACCAGTACCAGAACTTTAGAACATACCTATGTGCTATAAGCTGGCACCAGACCAATTCTCAGAACAGCCTAAATTAATATACACTATATTTTTTCTTTAAAGACTTCCTTAAAGGGGCACTATAGTCACCAGAACAACTACATCTTATTGTATTTGTTCTCGTAAGCATAATCATTCCCTTCAGGCTTTTTGCAGTAAACACGGTCTTGTCAGAGAAAATGAAAATGCAGTGTTTACATTACAGCCTAGGGATAACTCCACTGGCCACTCCTCAGATGGCTACTAGATGTGCTTCCTGTGGCAGTGCTGCACACTGTGCAGTACTATCCACGCTCTGCATGCAGACACTAAACATTCCTCATAGAGATGCAATGATTCAATTCATCTGTATGCGCTGGCTCTGTCCCTGGTCTGCCTCCTTGACTGTCTCAGCCAATGCAATGGAAAGCATTGTGATTGGCTCACAGAATTACTTCTGATGATGTGAGGCATGCAGGCAGTTCAGGGGCAGGGGCAGCAGGTGCAGAATACAAGTAAGATATTACTATATTTAGGGAGGCATGGTGGGGCTAGATGCTGGTTTTAACACTATTAGGTCAGAAATACATGTTTGTGTTCCTTTAAGGTCTCCCCAAGATTATATTCTAAACTTTAGAAGTGGTATCCCAATTTCACTTTGTTTGCGGTATGTGTAGTAAACAGATGCCTTTACAAAATCCTTTTCTCACACAATAATATTAAAAAAAGAACATTGAAATGAACACTTTGTGCTGGAAGAAAAACAATAACAAACAATACCAATATAAAGACACATGCATCAAAGGGCATTTCACTTATCAACAAAGTGAAATGGGATAGGCTTATAGTTGCTTAACTTTGTTTTAAATGTTGCAATTGCTTACAACTGCGAGTGATAGGAAAGGAGGCTTCAACAAAGAGAGGTTGTTATGGTGTTTAGACTTTTAGCAAGGGCTAAAAATTTCAAGCCCTGTGCCAAGAGTGAGTTAAAGCCTAGAGAGTTCATGGCACACTAACAGAATGGTGAATTTTTACTCGGCAATGGCTAGCTGAAATTTAGAACTCTCCTTTGAGCTATTAGTTATACTAAATTTTCTACTAGTTTCAGATGACCCATAGGTTTTAATTTATCAAAATGTACTAGAATTTGTTACTACAAAAAAACAAACAAAAAGAAAAACACACATTGGTAAAGCCATTTAAAATTCCACACTTGTCTCTTCATCAGAATTCTACAAAATAAAAGAGGCAATTTGTTCAGAAGCCATTATAGCAAGTGGCATGTAAACAGGCACTTTTGAGCAGTGCTGACATTTCTGATAACAAATGCCGCAGAGGAACAGAGTTAATTTGCATAGGGAGATCATCATCTGATCCATCGCCAAGTAATATTTTTCTGGTAAATATACCATTTAAAGAACAATGATTACAAAAACCTATTCTAAAACCAGGCTGCTTTTTGTTTTTGACATGAATAGTTCTTGGCAAGTAAATAAACTTTCATTCATGTACTTCAGCAGCAGAGAATTCCGTTTTGGAATTAAGCTTGAGAATAACATTCTCCAATCCAGCCAATGTACTTTTCTGAAATCAAGATAGCACATGGGTTTAATTAAATTTTGCAGGGTAAACACTTCCATACTTAAATCTGACACTTGGTTATGATATTATATGTAACAGGGTTGATGTTCCAGGAGGGATAAGCCAAATGGCAAATGATTTAGGTAAACTAGAAAAATGGTCAGAATTGTGGCAACTGACATTTAATGTGGATAAGTGCAAGATAATGCATCTTGGACGTAAAAACCCAAGGGCAGAGTACAGAATATTTTATAGAGCCCTAACCTCAACATCTGAGGAAAGGTATTTAGGGGTGATTATTTCTGATGACTTAAAAGTAGGCAGACAATGTAATGCAGGAAATGCTAGCAGAATGCTTGGTTGTATAGGGAGAGGTATTAGCAGTAGAAAGAGGGAAGTGCTCATGCCATTGTACAGAACACTGGTGAGACCTCACTTGGAGTATTGTATGCAGTACTGGAGACCGTTTCTCCAGAAGGATATTGATACTTTAGAGAGAGTTCAGAGAAGGACTACTAAACTGGTTCATGGATCGCGGGATAAAACATACCAGGAAAGGTTAAAGGAACTTAACGTGTAGCTTGGGAGGAAAGACGAGACACGGGGGATATGATAGAAACATTTAAATACATAAAGGGAATCAACACAGTAAAGGAGGAGACTATATTTAAAAGAAGAAAAACTACCAGAACAAGAGGACAGTCTTAAATTAGAGGGGCAAAGGTTTAAACATAATATCAGGAAGTATTACTTTACTAAGAGGGTAGTGGATGCATGGAATAGCCTTCCAGCTGAAGTGGTAGAGGTTAACACAAAGGATTTTAAGCATGCGTGGGATAGGCACAAGGCTATACCACCCCCGGGTTAGCCCCCCATATTGAGAATTTTAACAAAAGATTATTCCATTTGTTAAATCTTTGTTAGATCAGGTTTGATCAACAATTTTTTTCTTTAGATCTACTCTAAAATATGCGATATTAACAATCATTTTCAGTGGAGGCTAACCCGTAGCCAGCCCCCCCAACACAAAATTTGTACAAAATGTTGTTGATTATGATAGCTCTACGTTAGATCAGGTTTGATCAGGCAAAATTTTTGTTAGTTCTAGTTTAATTACTGAGATATTGCATATATAATTAGGGGGGGCTGGCCCCCTCTCAACTGAAATTTGGACAAAATGTTACTGATTTTGGTAGATATTCATTAGATCAGGTTTGATCAACTTTTTTCATTAGATCTATCACGCAAGAGGCAGTATTCACTACTTAACTTTGTGGGCGTGACTACGTGTTAGCCCCCCCTCAAGTGAAATTTGAATTTTCTAAATGGCATATGATTTAGGTAAACTAGAAAAATGGTCAGAATTGTGGCAACTGACATTTAAAGTGGATAAGTGCAAGATAATGCATCTTGGACGTAAAAACCCAAGGGCTGAGTACAGAATATTTGATAGAGCCCTAACCTCAACATCTGAGGAAAGGGATTTAGGGGTGATTATTTCTGATGACTTAAAGGTAGGCAGACAATGTAATAGAGCAGCTGGAAATGCTAGCAGAATGCTTGGTTGTATAGAGAGAGGTATTAGCAGTAGAAAGTGCTCATGCCACTGTACAGAACACTGGTGAGACCTCACTTGGAATATTGTACACAGTACTTTAGACCGTATCTTCAGAAGGATATTGATACTTTGGAGAGAGTTCAGAGAAGGGCTACTAAACTGGTTCATGGATTGCAGGATAAAACGTACAATGAAAGGTTAAAGGATCTTAACATGTATAGCTTGGAGGAAAGACGAGACGGGGGGATATGATAGAAACATTTAAATACATAAAGGGAATCAACACAGTAAAGGAGGAGACTGTATTTAAAAGAAGAAAAACTACCACAACAAGAGGACAGTCTTAAATTAGAGGGGCAAAGGTTTAAAAATAATATCAGGAAGAATTACTTTACTGAGAGGGTAGTGGATGCATGGAATAGCCTTCTAGCTGAAGTGGTAGAGGTTAACACAGTAAAGGAGTTTGAGCATGTGTGGGGTAGGCATAAGGCTATCCTAACTATAAGATAAGGCCAGAGACTAATAAAAGTATTCAGAAAATTGGTCAGAGTGACTATGGCTTAGCCCCCCCTTCACCTTAATTTAAATTTTTTTAATATTGATCTACCAAAATCAATATTAAAAAAATGTAAATTAAGGT